TATAATGTGCAAATTAACAGAAGCATTGTGCTTCCAATTCAGATCTAATTGTGTGAGGAAAATGTCATAATTCCACATACATATTCATGAACATACACGCCATATTGAGCACTAATCCCAAATTAACGTGGTATTCTAAATCACATCCTGCTTTCGCCGTGTCAGATAACTGTTAGCTGGGAAGAGCAGCCAAGAAGTGTGCTTATATTTAAACTATCTGCATCATTTAGTAAATGAGTTGTCAAAAATAGTGTATTCTCCTACTGCATTGTTGTCCAGCATGATTTGTTTCATTTGACAGATTTAATAGCTGTCCTTAGGGCATGAAAACAAATTGCAATAATATATCAGCCTACATGAAAAGGGTATTTTTAAGCTCGTGAAACTTTTCATTAGTTTTTGAAAACTGGGTGAGGCAGCTGTATGCAAGAAACCAGATTCCCCATTCTGAATAATGCTAAAACAGAAAAATGAAAAAAGGTAACATTTCTGCAGCCAGTTCGGGTTTCCTGGTGTATACTCGCCCTGATGACCATGTACAGTATATGCTTGACCCGTTTTCCCCAAGCAGTTCCCATAGAAACCAGAAAAATAGCACAGAAGGAAATTGAAAATGACGTTTCAAATACTGGCTGCAGAATATGTATTGTAAACTTGAAATAAAACACCTTGCTTATGTAGAAAAATGTGCCCCCCAAAAAACCAGGAATCACTTTAACAAGTGAGGATAGTAAAGCAGTAAGTAGGAAAAGTTTTGGATAAAGTTTTTCTTGCAAGTTAATGCTAGAATGATTCCTTCTTTACAAAAGATCTTAAGATTTAATGCTTTGTCGGGTATATAAGAAGCTAAGGCATCACATGGCTTGACATGTAAGTTGAGTAACTACATTCAAGTTTCTCTTGAAGCATGAAGTCTGTGAAATTTCCAGCTTCATAATTTGAATACATTTCCTTTGCCCAGAGGGAATCAATTAAACCATGTCTCTGTGCATGAAGCAAGAAGCATTCCAACGCTCAGAAAAGAATTAAACACTTAACACAAATAACTTAAAATTACCCCAAGCGTATTATATAAATTTGAACAGTTGTGAGATTAGTTATGTTAATTGGTATACTAACATTTTTAAACTGTTTCAGCTGATGTCCAACAAAATTAGCAAAGCCATTAAAAGTTGACTAGCTTCTTTTGGCAAAAAGGGAGAATGTTTCACTGTTTCTCAAAATAAGTTAAATTCAATTTAAAGACAATTTATCCACATAAATCTGAGAAAATAAATGAAATGTTTTTGAAAAAAATTATGAGGCTATATTTGACAACAAAATAACACATGTTTTCAGAGATAAATGTTGTTACGTTTCACACAAAAGTTTTGAAACTCCTCGGTTGACTTTTAATTTGTTTACATTTCCTGTTTATAGTTGTGAGAAAAAAGCATCACGTCTAAAGTAAGCTGTGTTTGCTCACATTGAACACTTTTTCAAGCCTGAAGGTTCAAATGGGGAATTGCGTCGGCGTGCGAGATCCAAAGGAACAAGTAGAGGTTAATTCACACTGAAAGTAGACTGCAAAATAAAGCATTTCAGTCAAGGAAGCCTTCTTCAGATGGCTCAGATGTGGATACATCTGAAACTGTTTTTGTATTTATTTATTTCTACTTTTAAGCATGGAGTTAACCCCTGCTTCTTTATGTTCTAAATTACTAAGCCACCATAATACTGGTCATGGATACCGCTCTAATTTACTGAGCTTGATGGTTCCCGCTTGTCTTTTTCCTGATCAGCAGACTTTCTCTGACTCTGCTGTACTTATAACCTGTGCGTATACTTGTGAGCACTCCATAATCTAAGTCATCCCCTCACTATAGGACTTTTCTAATGGCTGAAAATTTTTCACTCCTCCTTATTAAAATAACAAATCAAGAAGCAGCCGTCCACAATACACTGGGTTTCTCTTAACTATTTTTTTTTATATTCTGTGCTACACAACGTGAGTTCTTTCCGAAACACACAAATTTTGGCAAAGCCAAAATCTACAAATGAATAGAGAGCCTTTAGAAGGTGATCCTAGATTCAAGTTAATTTTGGTTTTGGATGCCTTTCTGCTATAGGAGTTCTGAAACCCCCCTGTGAGGACGCAGATGGAGAGAGGTTTCCCATTAAAGGTGAAATGGGAAACTATGGGTTTGGAGCAATCTTTGATCCTCACAGCTCTGAAATGTTCACTAAAAGGTCTGCCAGTCTTCTTGCTATCTCACCAATGTAAATAGCTGGGCATTTTCTGCCAGAGATCAGCCAGTGAACAAGGTTGCTGAAAATAAATAATGTCCTCTGGGTGACACTGAATTGTCCAGAGAGGCTTTGAATATACATTGTATTGGATATACTGTATACTGTATTTACAGATGAAGCAGAGGATTCTGTTGGAGGGGAAAGTGCTTGATGTGGATGGCAGTCATCTGTAGGCAGTTAAGAGAGCTCCGAACGAACGTTTGCACAGATTAGGTGGTCAGCAATATGAGATGAGGCAGTCAGGAAAGAGGGTTCTAGTGGAAGGGTCATCATGTTGTGGTGCAAACTGTGTTTCCTCCAGTTTCTTCTCTTTCTTTTTTGATTTTTGAAGGCCACCTTACCAGAGCTCGGGACTCTTTGTCAGGGGTGGAAGTGTCCCTTTGAGGTTCTGGGTATGAGCAAAGCTAAATCCTTGGAGATCGTTGAGGAACTAGTTCTGCATATTCATACCCTGTTCTAGAGCACCCCACCTCTCTATCTGAGGCCCAGTTAGATGTGTTTCTCAATGCCACAATCATCTCTGATTTGTGTGGTTATTAAAGAATGTCTGCACATGGAGGACCTTAGATCAATGGGAAGCTCAAGAAGAAGGAAAGACAAATGCACCACTCTTACGAAGAGACTGGACATTCGATTGAAACTTAAAGTCAAAATAGTCTTTGACACCTGTGGCCCCACACCCCTTTTCTCACTCTGTGATACTGTGTTTGTCTTTCAATATATTCTTATATCATGTCCTTTTGTATTCTGTGCATCAACTCATGAGGTTGACTGGGGTTGTGACTGTCCTTAAAAGTGCTTGTATCTGTTCAGTATAATTATACAGAAATCACAACATTTTCAATAACCACTTATCCAATTCAGGGTCACAGTGGCCTAGAGCTTATACCAGGAGGTATTGGACACTGTTACAAATGTTGGAAGGGCAAGCAGTGGAATGGCCAGGAGAGCAATACCCTATGCGTGGGTAAGCCCAGGCTCAGGGGGTCAGACAATGTCGGATAGAAACCTATGCCCTCAGGCCGCAGAGAAGACGACCTGGTGCTAGGTGTGTCTCAAGACATCCGAACCCTCAATGCTGAGCCAGGAGCAGAGCAGACACAGGAAGTAAATAGGCTACACACCGGAAGGACATAAATAATCACAGGGAACTAGGAACAGGACAGAAGTAGAGTGCCCTCTAGGAGTACAAGGCCTGACAAACACGGTGGGATACACCCTGGATGGGACCCCAGTCCATCTCAGGGCACACAGAGACACAAAAACACACTCAAGGCAGGGCCAATTTTACTGAAGTCAAATAACTTACCAGTGTGTCTCTGGGAGGACACCTGAGCACCTGGAAGAAGCCCACGTTAACACAAGGAGAACATGCAAATTTCACACAGAAAGCACTCCAGGAACTGAAACCAGGATAAAAGAACTGCAAGGTCGCAATGCTAACTGCTAACTACTGTGCCGCCATGTTGTCCAATTTTACCGAAGTATTATACATTACATTAGCAACTTTTACAGTTAGATCTGTTTCCATATTTTGTTCTTATTCTTTACAGTAAACTCTTGGTTTCACAGATTTCAGTTTAACAGACTTTAACAGGACAAAATGTGCTAAAAGGGAAATTTGGCTGTAAGATCAGAAATACCAGACTTTGCCTGCCATAGCCAAAGTATAGGGCAACCTTATAGGGGTGCAGTGGGCGTATCCTTCCCATCTTTAATGAATTAATGAATTATATATTATATTTACTACATGTGAAATAAAGAACTTGTATATTTAGGTTAAAAAAGGCACAACAACAGTTTTCATGGATTGTGTTGATTGCAATTGTTTAAAAAGTCAGACTCTAGAAAGCAAGTGTATAGTATACAGTTTATAATATGTGAATAACTCCTTCAGTTAATGGACATTTGGCAATAACACCACTTCCCCCTATTAATTCATTAAACTGAGGATTCACTGTATTTAACTTACGGTTTTAAATGAACTAGAGTGAATTTGGCAGCAGTTGGTAAAGGATGACCATTGTAACTAGTGAAAAGGGCTTCTCATTTTCAAAATCTATTTTCTGACTGCATACCTCTTTTTTAATCTGGAATTACTGCCTTCTTAAGGGATTTCTGCTTCGTGATTAAGAGAAATATATTCAATGCTACCTGCATACATTTTGTAAATTCCTAAAAGATTCAACACTGCAAATGTGATGCATAGACAGCATACATGGATATTTTATGCTGAAATAGTATTTGCCAGCAGATTTCTTATTCAGCTGACTAAAATATAAAATAATTATTATTCTAAAGGCGAAAGTAGATACAGTAGGTCAAGCAAAGAATTGGGAAGTAAACAGTTTTAGGGATGAGGCAGCAAAGTCATCCAGTTATTATTATTATTAGTAGTAGTATAGTAGTAATATTGATTATGTAGTTGTTGTCGCTGTTGTTAATTGGGCAAGGACACCTGTGTAACATTTTTCAAGAAATACCTTGGGACTTTTAATGACCACAGAGAGTCAAAACTCAGTTTTACCTCCCATCTGAAGGATGGTTTCAGAGCCACTAGCCCTGTTTCATAAATAACCAACCAGATGTGCTGAGTTACGTGTAAAAGGGTGACATGTTGTACAAAACTAAAATGGACTGTAAAAGACAGTACCCATTTTCATCTTCATCAGAGCTGGGGAGATGCATGAACATAATAAACCCAATACTACCTTTACATTTATCTCAAGCGGGGCTCCCCTGCAGTCCCCCAGTGGGTAACTGTGATGAATTACCTTCAGAGGAGAAAAAGGAAAAGGCAACAAACAAAATTACATTCAAAGTTTCAGTTCAGCCCGAACCTTTAAGGTAATTAATTCATGTTTAAGCAGTATTAATGAGTTGTGGATTTTGTTATCCGGTGCTTATAAAACAATGCTGCAAGGAACAGCACGCAGACGAAATATGCAGTGTGAGTACATTATTACAGTCACCTCTCCCATGGGGGAGGTCAGGGAGGAAGAATCCCTGGACCTTCCCCTGTTCCTCCTGCCCAAGAAGCCGGAAGAGCAGAACAGGGGATTCCCTGGTGGATCCGACTCTAACAGCTGGCCTTTACATGACACAGGATCTAGAGTTGTTGCTGTCCCTGCTTCCCTCGTGGCAACCAAGTCATTATTGTTTGTGACTGTAAAAAAGGTCATAAAAACTCAAATGAAAATAAATGGTGTGGTTACTAAACCCCATTCCTTTTGATACTGTAATATGTAAAAATGCAATTGCACTGCCAGTTCATTTTCTGTCTTGTGATCTCTGTGAGTTAACAAGAGTTCTACATCTACTTTAGTCTCACTTTTTACCCAGCAGGTTCTCATCCAGGGACAGGTTCCAAATGATGTTTTGGGGGGCACACCTGTAGTTTGGTCAGCATTTTGCTGTTTTATTAAGTGAAAGTATACTGTACCTTGACTGCAGTTTGGGGTCATTGTGTTCTAACGAGAGACAATTATGACACCTTTTGTAAAAGGGTAAGAGTACAAAAGCTTTTTGTTAGAATTTTTTGTGTCATTTGTTTCTTCTAAATGTTTTTGGTTATATTTATATCTGGCATATGACAAATAATTTGTCACTTTGATGTAACTGTTGGGCTTTGATAAGCTGTCCTCTGGTGTTGGCGTTGTTCTTAACTTTGCAGTAATAAAGACTAAGCAGTGCCACTATTGTACAGACCTGAAAGATTTTATTCTTCTTTAACTAAATACCTAAACACCATGTTTAATCAGACGCTGAGACACGCTGCAGCCAATTAGCCCAATTTCCTGCACTCATTAGAGAAGGATTATCTTTATTAATGAATAGCTTAATCAAATTGGATTCTCCAAAAAATGGTAAAACAGAAACAACACATACAATTTAATTTTAGGCATAGATGATGGGGAATTGGATGGGTTAGAAATAACACTGAACTTCACCTGCATAAGAAGTGTGAATGCTGAGAAAGCTTTACATTTTAATGCCTACAAGCGTTTCAGCTGAGAATATAAGCAAAGCTCTGATAAGCCTCGGAATTAAAATATAATAAGAAATAAGATCCTTTGGGTTCTCAAATCCTTTTTAATCTTTCAGATGAAAAAGACCAGCCTTGCATTTGGTCAGTCTTCAATTGTAGAGACGTGATGCCTTTTCAGTCCTAATATTTTGAAGAATTCATAATGCACAATCTGTGATTTTAGATGAAAAAGAAAAACTTTATCTTTGAAGAAAAAGTTGTTACTTCATAAAACAGGTTCATAGTAAAGTCTCTAATCCAATTAATAGATCAGTTTGTTGTCTTAGGAAGCAAACAGTACAACTGCACAAAGATGAAGAGTTCCTTCTCATCCTAAACATTAAGAGAATTGAGTTCTTTGGGGACACAATCAAAGGACTGATAAGCTTTTGTTCTGGAGCTCAGGAAAGACTGATTTAATTGGCTATGCATATGTCACGTTTAAGAATATCTGAAAGTGTGGTTCATATTCTATATTAATCAGCATTTGTTAGGGATATTCTATGTCAGATACTCCACGATAATATAAACTAACATAGTTATTGCTATTTTGCATTACACAGCAGGTTTCCTATATGTTTAACCAGAGAAATGACTGAGAGCATGATGAGTATGTACAATTTATGCCCGCTTCCCATCCCTCTCCACTGTTTAATTTCATCACTATATCCACAGCAAATCATCAGACAAATGTCCTTGTCACTTGAAAACAACAAAGCATGCAGAGACAACCAATTTAGTGACCTATTAGCAATAAAATGATTAACAGAAGCAGCAGTGTTGGATCTAGCTGTGTGCAGCTCTATGTTGCCACCACCCAGAATGTATCTCAAAATGTATCCCAGACTTTCTGGATGAAGTAATGATTCCAAACCACTCGAAACATCGACAGGCCTAGTGGAAGACATATAAGGTCAATCAGAGCATATTGTGATAAAGGTCGTGAAACCCAACTCCAAAATGCTACAGGTGTCCATGTTTCAGTACAGACAGTATAGAGACATCCTCATGAAGGAGAAATGATACCAAGCAGGCTGTTTATTTAGATAATGAACTGTACAACAGATGGACATGTCAGATGGACCACAAAAGATTAACAGATAATTCCTATTTCAATATAGACAATATGGAAAGAGAAGTATCAGAGAGAGACTTCTGTCCAATAAGTTGCAAAGCATGCCATATATGAGGGGGAGGGAATTTCCAGATGGGGTTGAGGTTTATGTAGAAGGTAAAATAGACCTGTATTTTTGCTGTAATGACACATTGACAGGTGTGGAGTTACAAAACTGAAATCTTTTACTATGTGAGAACTTTTAAGGACGTCATAGGTCTCAACTTCATTTTGAAATGTGAAAATCTCTATCATGCAGCAGTTCTTAACCAGTGCCTGGAAAAGCTGACTGTATACAGAATGAACTGTCTCCAGAGATACTGACCAATCTTCCCCAACCCTTCCCACCCTCCCAACCTCTGTTTACTTCCCTTCTCTCTGGTAAGCGGCTTAGGTCTGTCAAGACAAGGACTTCTAGGTTTCATAAAAGCACCTACCAGGAGGCTGTGGAGTGCAGAAATTCTGCCCTTTCATTTTGACATTTTTTCACGGCTCCTTATTAGTCTATCAGGCCCCACTGTTATTCATTTTATTGCCAGTCTGTGTTAATAATGGTTTGTGAACGTGTTGGGTGCATGCTGTCTATTATAGTGTAACGCAACGGGGGCTCAGGCGGGCGCCCTTGCTGCATCTGGTAGGCCCCATCCCGACTGAGGCTCGAACCCGGGACTTCCGCGTCTCTCTGCAGTGACCTAGCCCCGTGAGCTAAAGAGAGATCTCTCTACAGCCCAGTAGCTGTAGTCCTGCTATCACAGGGAAGGGCGGTGACGTCACCTGCTCTGGTACGCCGGCTCTTACACAGTGCCTGTTGGCCGTAAGCGTTACAATAGGCTTTATGTTTATATTGCATGTCTTTAATTGTATGAGATCAACAAACCAGATTCCATGCAACTGGTTGTTATGGCACTAAAATATTGAACTTGAACCGAAATCATGCCTTATCTGTTCATATTGCACAGATGCGGAATCTAGATTGTTCTAGACGAGGAGACATATTCCCCAGCATCAACTCTGACATTTGATTAGCAGGTTGACAATGCTGGAATGATGCTAAAGGTCACCACACGGAATATTTAATTTCAACTGTTTCTGGCACCTGCCTTGCATTTTGCAGACAATGGCCAAGACTGTACAGTCATCTATCACGTCATGGCCCTTTCCTACCTTTCCTAAAAGTGATCAGTCGCATGTATAAATGGGATCTACTACATTAATGCCCCAAAAAGATATTCATCTATGCAATATATTTTCCTTAATGTAGTAATTACTTCAGTATGGCTAGCAAATGTTGAGAAGTATGTATGAAAAAGCTTTTCAAATTTACAATACTTTTTTGGAAGTAAAAATGCACTGAGCCTCAAGACTTTTTTTCAGAAACCACTTCCAACAACTAGCATTTCTATCCCCGGTGCAATCTCCTCTTATAGAATTGTTTTTTTAAAGCGCTGACCAAGTTATGAACCATTACCTTAGTAAGCAGGTTAGCAGGGTTTCCCTATAATAGATTATGATTTAGACCTAGGATCATTTTTTAAAGAAATTTTGTTTAATTGCCTTTTGGGTGTCTGGTGATTTTTTCAGGTTGCATCACACAATGACTGGTTGCCACCAGAAATCCTTATATCAGAAGCCACTAGCTATGTTATTACTTTGCCAATCAAAAATAAATTGAACTACAAACTACCTGCAGCATTTAGCATTTAGACTTTATGCCATTCAGGATGTGATCTTGCATTGGTAATATGCATACCATGCAAAATCATTGGTTTCAAATTTTTATGGATTTCAAATTATTTTATGGGATAAGCTTCAAAATTATTGAATATTTCAACCCAAACCAAATACAAAAATGCATGGATGCATTTCTCTACCAAACATACTGTATCTGTTTGAATATAGTGTGAAAACACTACAAAATATTTGAAACATGTGAAAACATGAAATGTATTACTATACGGTACGTGCTGTTTATTCATGTATACCACCGTTTAAACATGTTTTTCTTGGATTTTAATGTGGAATATGTCATATTTAATACTGTACAATATGTAATATGAAATCAAGATAAAATAATCAGGAAAAAATACTCTTTCATGTATTGCCATTTTTAATTAAAAGTGGAATGGTTTTTGAGCTGCAATACAGTATGCAGTCTTTTAAAAATTTATATTGCAAACATTAAGCAGAAATGTGGTTGGTCCACCTTTAACTGGAGAAATATTTTGCCTCTTATTCTAAAAGTGCTCATTGTCTATTTGTGAGAATGTTTGAAGAGCTTATGGATATTCAGCATGCTTTTTGAAAGCAAGATACCAAACTGATTTCCTGGAGTTGTAAACAAAAAAAGCTACTGTAATACAAAGTCCACCTATGAGTTTTTTCTTTCCACTGACCTGAGATCATACTATTGCTATGCTAATGCTGCAATTTCCATGCAGACTACGCCATTTTAAAGCTTGGATTTTTTTTCTTGTTGGTTAGAGATATAATCATCATGGTTTAAGACAGGATTTTAATCAGAAAAGTACATAGTTGCTGCTCTGATCTTCTATACATCATGTAAAGCAGATCTCCATGCCATCTCCAACAGACTAAAAAATAAAATGATTAAGTAAGAATATGATTAGTAATGA